ACTCTTACCACATCACCTCCTCCTGGAAGCTACCCTGATTGCCTTCACCTCCTTTCTTGAAAACTGACGTCTCAGCAGAGGTTAACTGAAGCCTGTGTAAATGCCCTAGGGGGGTGCTGTTGGGAGGGGCACAGCCCCCTGTGATGTGGAACACCACGCTCAGATTCCCCAGCTTGGTGAGTTGGGGTTTTCTTCAAGGTGAGAGGTGGGGAGGAAGCACCTGGCAGGTGACGTGGGACCCGGGAGTTAGGAGGCTTGGGGTGGAACTCTGGTTTCATCAGCAACTTCTTGTGTGACCCTGGGTGTGTCTCTTTCCCATTCTTGATTTCCTTCTCTGCAAAATGAAAGGCTCAGGCTGGAATAGGGATGGCAGATCACTTTTAACTCATGAGCTGGTTCTTATCAGTTGGTGCTGGAGCAGTGTGGAGAGGGATTCTGAGGTTAAGTCTGGCTTGATGGGAAAGAGATGGATTAGTGATGTCTGCTGTGGGTGGAGGATGGGGAGAGATGGTAAGAGTCCCAGTTATTTGCCATCCCTTCCAGCCTAACAGCCCATCATCCTGTGACACATTCTTCAGTCTTTCCTGTGGACAGGGTGGATAGCCAGGTTCATCTTGGGCTTTTGGATGGCCTCACTGACTCTCAAAAAAGGCTCCTTGTCTGGTTAGACACACAGTCGAACAGACTGAGGGGCCCTGGGTGATCTGGCAGAGCCCTGAGACCCGCTGCAGTCAGGATTCAGGAGAGGGTTTGGGGAGCCTTTAGTGTCCTGAGACCCCAGGTAGCGGCCAAACATCGAGGGCTGGAAAGAAAACGCTGGGCTTATTCCTTGGGGAGCTGGGGAGGCATTTGCTGGCATGGAGCTTGGCAGGAGTGGGCATCATCCCTCCTCCCTGGAGGGTGAATCCGAGCCGTGGTAACAATGCTGCTGCAGCAGTGGATGGGAGGCAGCAGGGGGAACTTCACAGCAAGGGCCCCGTGACCCAGCGAGGTCATGGAGGCCTTACCTGCCTTGGGGTGCCGTGAGCTGGGCTGGGAAAGGGACCGTCCCGCTCAGAGGCAGGGGCTTGTTGAAGTGACTTTTCTGGAAAGGATGTGGTTCATTTAGCAACCTTAGAACCAGCAGAATGTGAGATGCCGTTCTGTGTCCTGCGGGCCCCTCGCCGTTCTGCCCCCATCTCTGCCTGCTGCCCCTTTCCCATCCCTGTGGTCTGATGGCTCAGGGCTTGCTGTGCAGTAGGACTTCCCTCCTCATAGGAGCCAGGTGGCCGGCTCTGTCTGTCTCTCTGTCTTGCCCTCCTTGAGCTAGATTGGCTGCCAGAGAAGCGACTGGAGCCCCAGTTCTGAGCCTGCCGCTGCAGTCCGTGATCACAGACACTGGTCTCCCAGTCAAAGGACTTTTAGAAATCCTCTAATCCGACCCCTTCATTTTACACACAGGTGAGGAAACCAAGGCCCAGAGAAGGTGACACAAGGAATCTGTATACATTCTAATCCCACCTCCCTATTCTTAACTGTCCCAGGCTGCCCTCCCGAGGACTCCTGCAGCGGGGGTCAAGCCCTAAGACCTTGGGTCCAGGGCTTTGGGTCTGGCTCCTCCTATCTCCTTGGGGATGGCCTGCCTGCCTGGGCCCTCCCAGGCATTCATCAGCTCTCCAGGCCTCCTGGGTGACCCCTGGGTACTTAAAGATTAGAAAGTGGCTCTGGATGGTGCAGAGTCCTGGATGTCAAGCCATCTGCTTGTCAGTGTCATTCATTATTCACGAGGAAACATGAGCGCCTGGGTTGGCAGGGTCAGGAATTTTGTCCCTTGCCCTCTTCCCTCCCTTCCCACCCCCTGGGAGTGGTGCTCCACAGCTTCCTGTAGGGTGCACGGGACAAGCACTTGCTTTTCCAGCTGTGTCTGGGTGGGGCTTCACTGCCCCTTGGATGCTTGTGCCAGCTGTAGGCACCTGGGCCAGAGAGGTTTTTCTCCTCATAGATAATTTCCTTGCAGTTTTTCCAAAGAGCCCAGAGACCCAGGGCAAAGCCTGAGTGGGAGGGATGGGCCCACATCTTGGGTGAGCTCTGGGTTGAAGGGGCAGGGACTGCTGAGTGTGTCTATCTCTTTGTGGAAGCAGAAGACCTGGCTTCAAGTCCAGGCATTGCCACTTCTTAGCCGAGGAGGATGGCAAGGGCTTGACTTCTCTGAGACTCAGCTTTCTCATCTGTGACATAGAAATTAACTACATGCCTAACAGAAATACTTTAAAGAGTAAATTATGCTTGCACTGTAGCAGATTCAAAGTATCAGATGAGCGCTGGCCCACCATCCACCGAAAGACCAGAGACCCAAAAAACAAAACAACTGGCACTGGAACTGGAAACTACGGAGAAGAGATCATCATAGGCCCGGGTCCAGGGGGACTTTCCGTCAGCTGTCAGGGTGATGAGGGATGGAGGAGAAATACAATCTGGGGCTCTGCACACACCACGGGGTGGGTGAGTGAGAATAGTCCAGGCAGCCACAAAGACAGCAGAGCACAGCTTTGACTCGTCCCCACAGTCAGCCCTAACTCACCAGGCTGGCAGGAGCCACGCGGGCCAGGAGACCAGGTGGCCATTCTCAGCCAAGTGGGGACTGTCTTCCTGGTCAGCTGGAGGAGTGCCTTCCCTTTCCCATCCCCATTTTCCCTCCTCTTTCCATGTCCTTTTGAAAAGCCGGATTCCCTCAGGGTGACAGGCCTGAGGGCAGAGGCTTGAGCAGAGAGACCTGAGTCCTGGGGTGGGGAGCTGCCCTGGGAGAAGCCCTGTGGGCCGGGACAGAGCCGGGAAGGGCTGGGCGCAGAGGCTGTTGGAGCGGCCACCTTTCTTGTACTCTGAGCAGAAGAGACCAACTTTCAGCCAAGTTGTAGAGGCTGACAGAGGACATCCCACCTCTGTGCAAAACAGGGCCCTGGATGCCCGCTGCCCCACTCCCCGAGAGTGGCTCCCGGCGCCCTCTGTCCTCTTCCCTGGCCCACATCAGCACCATCATTAAATATTTAATTGCGTAATTAGTTATTTACTGTCTGTCTCTCCTCCTGGACCGGAGACTGTGGGAGGGCAGGACCCAGTCGGCTTAGCTCACTGCTGTATCCTTGGCGCTCAGCATAGGCCTGGGAATTTCAGGGGCTTAAATATTTGTTGAAAGCAGCTAATGGGGAGAGTAAATTTATATACTCTGGAAAGGAATTTGGCAATATATTCCAAGAATCAAAAACATTGTTGATGCCTTCGGTATCAGGCAGAATGCTTTTGGATGTAAGAGAGGACCCCTGATTCAAACCTGCATAAGCACTGGAATATAGAACTGGAAGAGCAGAGAAGGCTCGGGGGGCCCTGAGGTCCTTTCTGTCTCTGTTGTGCTGCCCTCAGCAACACTGGTTTTGTCTTAGAGCTGGATCCTCTCTAGGGGGAAGGGTCTTGAGGGAAGGAGAGAGAGAGACACAGAGGGAGAGAGACCTCCCCTTTCTCTTGTAAGTGTGGAGTCCAAATCTCCCCCTTAAGTCACATTGGGCCAACTTAGTCATGTGCCCGCCCTTGGACCAGTAAGAGTTACCAAGGTGAATGCCACTTCCTGGCTTAGGCTAATCAGGATCGGCCACTAAAACAAGGGGGTGGGGTGCTACTTGGACAAAACCAGCAGTCTGTCAGGAAGCAGGAAGGGAGAATGGGTGTTGGGGAAGCTACCAGCAGTGTCCACATCCTCTAAACCAGGCACTCCATTTCTGGGAATCCATCCTAAGGAAATAAGCAGATAAAATGAGTGTAGAAAGATGTTTATTGCAGTGTTGTTTAAAAGAAAGGAGAGACAGAGGGAAGAGGGTGGATGGGAGGGAGGAGGGGGGAGGAGAAAGTCAGACGATCTAAGAGGTAACTGTACTGGAATATTCAAGTCAATTATGCTACCTCCATACAATGGAATATTATGATGGCGTTAACATTTATACAAAGTGTTAATGACATTGAGAAATGCTTGTGGTATAGTGTTAAATGAAAAATACCAGGATATAAAATTGTATTTGCAGTGTGAGTTCAGTTATTTTAAAAAATGCATTGAAAAGAGGCTGGGAAGAAATAGGTTAAAATGCTTACAGCAGCTGCCTCTCAGTAGTGCCCTTAAGGTTGACTTTTGCCTGCTTCTTTATCCTTTGCTGTACCATCCCCTTCAAGCAGGAGGACCCCTCCCATGGTCTGCACCGGCTGGAGCCAGTTTTGTTCTCCTTGTTCTTATGATTGACTCTGAAAATAACGATCACTAACACTTACTGAAGATTTACTCTGTGCCTGACACTGTTCCAGGCACTTTCACATGCACTAATTTAATTCTTACATCAGTCCCATGAGGTAAGTGCTTTTATTCCTCGTTTTGCTGAGGTGTTCACTGAAACCCCAAGATGTACAAGATGTCACACAGCTAGGTTTTGCTGCCAAACCAGGTCACTTGCCAGGGTAGCCATGTGCTAATGAGAATAGTCCCATTTATTGAGCCAGACTCTGTGCATGCTCTTTACATTTATTTGTTCATTTAATCCTCACAGCCTCAGAGAGGCTAGGTGACTTGCCCAAGGTCACACAGCTAGGAAGTGGTGCGGCCGTGATGGAGTAGCCTGGGGTCTGATGTGGGACCCCTTTGTCTCTCCCTCTCCCCACAGGGTTGCCTGAGGCCCTGCCGCCCCGTGGACCATGTTTAACGGGGAGCCGGGTCCAGCCTCGGCCGCGGCCTCCAGGAATGTGGTTCGGAGCTCCAGCATCAGTGGTGAAATATGCGGATCCCAGCAGGCTGGGGGCGGGGCCGGGACCACCACTACCAAGAAGCGTCGCAGCAGCCTTGGGGCCAAGATGGTGGCCATCGTGGGCCTGACCCAGTGGAGCAAGAGCACGCTCCAGCTCCCCCAGCCTGGTGAGGGGGCTTGGGACACCCAGGGGCCGGGGTGAAGCACCCTGCAATGGCTGGGCACCCAGGGACTGTCCTCATGGGTCATGGGTGTGCACTCCCACACCCGCAAACACTTATGTAGTGCTTGCCATATATCAGGCGCAGTTCTGGGTCTGGTATCTGTCCTGACTCATTGAATCCTCATATAACTCTATGAGGCCGGTACTGAGCACAGAGAAGAGAAGTACGATGCCCCAAACTACATAGCTAGTAGGTGGTGGAGCCTGGATTCAAACCTTAGCGGTTGGGTTTCCAAGGTCATGCTCCTAACCTTTACGCTCTGCTGCCTCCAAGCACAGACTTACATATTAATCAGCGATTATTTATTAAACTGCCATCGTGTTCCTGGCACCGTGCTAAGTGATACCACCGCTTCACAGACACATAGCCATAAGATACAGTCTTACCTGTATGTCTGAGTTTCTTAAGTACAAGTAGCCACACAAACGTAGTTACGTAGTCATAGATGTATGTTACAAAGTCACAAGAGACACACACGCAAAGACGCGTGCCTTGCTCAGTCACATAAATAGTGTGCTTACTTGCTCAGGTGAGCCACCCCTACTGCCAGGAAAGCACAATACACTCATTCACATTGTACATGGTCACAAATAAAACCAGTCATGCACATCACACATACACAGTCCTGTGGGTACCGATGCACAGACCCAGATCAGAGAAGCACAGTTACACACGTGCACACACAGTGGTCACAAAAACATGTCGCATATGTGTACACACATACCTCATGAAGCCACATTCACACACACCTTAACAGCTACATCCTGATAAATATACTTTCTCAGATGCTTAGTGACAGAATCCAAGTTGTCCTCGTTCTGGTGGGTGACCTACTTTGTCACGTACAGCGCACCCAGACCCCACATCACAGAGGAGCCAGCAAGACCTCTTCACTTCGTGGCATCAGTCCAGACACCAGCTGGTTTTGTTTTAAAATCTCTTCCTGCTTATTTTGCTCAGAGTAACAACTCTCCCAAGAAACCTTCAAATAGGCAGCTGGATGGGGGTGGTGAGGGGGCGGGGGCGCCAGAGGATCCAGGGAGAATGCTCATCAAGACTCCCAGTTGGGGCTGGGCATGGAGGACTTTTCCAAGCCTTAAAATAGATTTTTACAAAACCCTCCACAGGAGCATGTGGGATGGTCTTTTCCAGCAACCAAGCTGTGGTGTGGTTTCTGGCTCAGGGAAATGCTAGATGAGGAGAGGGCTTGAGGCTATCAGTACCCCGGGGTGGGCATGGCCTCTGTGAATACGTAGTGTAGGCATGGCACTAGGGAGTCAGGGAGATGGGGATCTGGGGATACAGGAGTTGGGCTGGGACAGGACCAAGGGGTGGGATTAAGGATGGGGATTAAGATTAGGCTGTCAAGCAGGTGTTGGACCCCATGAGTGGCTTCAGGAGACCAAGCCCTGCTGATCTCTGGCTGATTCAGCCTCAGACCCAAAGGCTTCTTCAGGCCCCAAGTGATTTAGAGGGACAGTCTTCCAAGGCCAGGGCAGGGGTCTGAGTCACTGGGAGATATTTCAGTGATCTGCCTGGGACTGTCCACCTACCTAGACTTCATAGTCAGCAGGCGGGGATTGGAGCAGACACCAGAAGACCTCCAGCCTTGAGGGGAGATGAATGATGATGGGGCTTCTGGATCACTTGTCTCTGTGGTATGCAAGGGCATGGCTGAAGGCCTGGGGCCTGAGCCAGCAGAGTGGCCCAGATGCCCTTCCAACTTAAGGTCTCTCTGAATCATCCAATGGCTGAATGTCAGAGCAGGAAGGGCCCCTTGAGACCGTCTAGTCCAATCTGCTGATCTTATCGATGAGGTATACGAGTCTGGAGAGGAGAAGGCACTCTCCTGGAGAACAACTTCAAGTTGGCCTTCAGGGCCACACCCTGTCATTTACTAGCTGGGTGACTCAGGCAAGGTACTTCACCTCTCTGAACCTGCTTCCTCGTTTGCAGAGTAAGGACAATAATACGTTCCTTGCAGAGTTGTCCAGGGGATTAAATGAGACAGGATATGCAAAGGCACCCAGCCTTGTGCCTGGTGCACAGTAGACACTTGGTAAATTATTGGTGTCCTTAATATTACCCATGGTCGTATGGTAGGTCCAAAAAAGAAGTGAGTTCTCTGGCCTCCACAGCTCTGCCCCTTGCTCATAGCATACTCCTCTCCCATCTATAATTCCTTGTCCTCATTTTTTTTCTCCCAGGCCTTGAGGTTGCCAGTGTCCCAGCTTGGAGCCCCATCCTGGGTGGAAGGGTCTGGCCCCAGAGGGATATATAGGGCTGACTCACTGTGGGCACTGGTCCTGGAAACCCTGTTCTGGGAAAAGATCCTACCTAGCAGGGTGCCCCTGCTGCATCTGGGTGGGATGGCTCTGTTCCCTGCATGGCTAGAATGTGCAAAGTGGGGAGGAACTCCTCTCTCACACTAATCTTCTGGGATCTGGGTCTCTTCCCAGGGGCCTCCTTCCTCCCAGTTTATTTGTACCCTGCATTGGCTTGAGCCCTGCATATCTCCTCCTCTTGGTTTCAAAGCCTCTACCCTAGTTCAGGCCCCATGATACCTAGCCTGGACTATTGCACCAGCCTCCTCTCTAGTTCCCTTGCCTCCTGTCTGCCCCTTCCAGTTTAATCCTCACGTTGTCCTACAGAGGCCCTCCAAAAACTCACCCTGAAACTTTAGAGGACTAGTCCTGGCTCTGTAACTCCCCATGGGATCTTGGGACAGTCGCTTTCCCACTGGGCCTCAGTTTCCTCTTCTGTAAAATGGAGCTGAAGAGACTCTCTCCACGTTTCCTTCTAGATCTAACATTCTCTAAGTTGTGGGAGCATTTAGGAGGGTGGGTCAGAGCTTTGGGGTCCTAGGACACAGGTGCGTTCTGGCCCGGCCTTAGACTGAGTCCACACAGGGCCATCGTGGGCTATCCTGGCCCCTTCCTAAATGGGGCTTCTTTTTTCAGTACCAAGGACAGTGGCTCTTCGCGCCTTGGCTCTGGGTCAGGGTGGCGAGAGGGCTCAGGATTATTCCAGGAGGTGCCACGGGGAGTACTGCTGGAGGCTGCGACTCCCTCTCTCTTATATGTGCTGGGACAGATGGGATGGTTCCTGGAGTCCTTCGGTCTCCACAGAATTACTGCAAGCAGCTTGGTCCAGTTCTCTAGAGAGAGAAACCACATAGAGTTACTCCCCAAATCAACAGGGCTCAGAGACTGGACAGGTGTGAAGCCAGCAGAGGAATGTTCTCTGAGGTTGCAAGACATTTCTCCTAGAAGACATGGAACATAATCTCTGCTGAATCACATCTCAAACCAATGTGGAGTTGGTGGAGAGGAGTGAAAAGTCGCACGTCAGTCGACTGGGAGGCAGTAGGCGTGGGGTCTAGCCTCAGCTCTGTGGGCGCCTGGACCTCAGGCTCCCCATCTGTGAAATGGCAGGGGTGGGGAACTAACTGAGGTCTCTCTAACATTTCAGAATTCTGTGACTCCTCTACCCACAGGCTCACAGTGGGTTGGGCAGGTCAAAGAAGGTAAATTTTCTCCCAAATGGGTCAAATCTTCCCCAAGGTCTGGAAGAGGTGGGGCTGGAGTCATGAAGCAGTTAGCTGTGGCTTCAGCTTGTGTTGTATGTTGTAGGGGGAGATTCGAGGGGAGGGAGGCTGAAGGGCAGCCCCCACAGACCCATCTGTCTTCTAACTGGGTTAGAGGGGATGTGGCAGTTAGGAGCCAGGGACAGGGTGAGTCCCCCCACACCCACCATTATTGCTCAGGCCTCTGTGTGTGGTAGGTCACAAACCATTTGTGGGTTTGCACCAATGTGTGTGAGTAGACGGGTTCAACTCCAAGTGTTATGGTGTGAAGGTCACATGTATGTGGCAGAGTAAATCGTGTGTACGTATGACTAAGACCCGGTAGGACCATTTGTGACTATGTGACTGTTGTATGCACGTACACATGAACATGACCTTGTATGTGAAATCAGTGTATTCATATATGTGATTGTTGGCACTCGTGTATGTCTACTTATGCCTGTGTGAAAGAAATAGCAAACTAATGTGACTGTGTATGTGTGTGAGAGAGAGACAGACAGACAGACAGACAGATTGATGGTCTCATTGACTCCTGGATAGCTAGCTATTCTAATATCTCAGAAGCTGGGATGGTTTCAGAGAAGACATTCTTCCTCACCACCCGACCGGTCCCAGTCCCCATCCTGTCCACTAGTGATGCTAGTCTTCTCAGCCTTCCCCCACCCCCAGAGGGACTTCCTGAAAGATAAGTGGGACAAAGCAGGAGGAAGAAAGTCCCCCTTTTCCCAGGCTGGGGTCTTGAACATCCCCTCTCTGATCCACCATTGGATGTGGGTGGGAGATGGGGTTGCTGGGGTAACCAGCTCTCCCCTCCCCACTGCTTTCAGGGGCGATGCTGCCTGCCCTACCCCTGGCCTCTCCCCATCCCTGCAGGCACCACTCTTAATTTGTCTGGGCCTCTAACCAGTGATGGCAAATGGCTCCTTTGGTATAGTCCCTATCTGAGTGCCACTTCCCTCCCCATCAAGCTCCCCAGGCAGCCAAGCTTCAGCAACGGAGGTGCCTGCCAACCCTCAACCTGTCTTCTGCTGCCTCCCTGCCCCGCCCAGGAGGAGAGGGTGTCTAGAGGGACCACACTGCAATGCTGAGAAGGTTGCCATGGAAACCCAGGCAGGATGGTGCGCTGCTAGGAGAGGCAAAGTGCCCCATGTTCCCTGCAAGGCTGAGGAGGGTGGCTGGGGTGGGGGTAGAGGGCCTTCTGAAGAGGAGGTGTGGAGAGGCAGGGGTGAGCTCTCACCACACAGCTTCTGGGATTCTGCAGACCTCTCTCTCAAAGCCAGTCCGTTCAGGTTAACCCAGTAGTTCCTCTCAGTTGTGCTTCCCTAACAGCTCTCCACAGTCAGACCCACCGTGGGAATGTGTGTTAGTCTGAGAGATGCCAGGCTTCACAGGGGTTTTTTGTAGGGCCTGTGAAGGTATCGGAGAGGACGGTTATGAGGTCTGGGTGGGATAGGGCTCACAAGCATACTTGGAAGAGGGAAAGCAAATCTGGGGATCCTGGAGAAGGCAAACTTTCCAGAAAAGAGGCAGGAACACTTAACCTTTTGGGGCAAGGGCTGAAATTGAGTGGGAAGGTGGCTGTCAGGGCAGCCTGGCCAGGCTGAGGGCTGAGGGCTGCAGGGCTGGGGCTCCCCACCCCCAGCCCCGCCACCCCAGCTCTGCCTCCAGCCTTTCTAGTTCGCTTTGTCTGTGCCACTGCGCTGAGCAGAGGTAGAGGTCAGGCTGCAGACCGGCTCTAGAGGTCATCTCAGCATTGCCCCTGCTCCAATCAGACCCCTGCCCATTCTGCCCCCTCCCAAGAGGGTGTCTTTGGCAGCTCTCTCAGAGAAGCATCTACCATAATCTGACCTTTTTGCCTTTCTATGCTTTGGTGGGGGGCGGTCACAGAAGGGGCCACCAAGAAGCTGCGCAGTAACATCCGGCGGAGCACAGAAACGGGCATCGCTGTGGAGATGCGGAGTCGTGTCACGCGCCAGGGCAGCCGGGAGTCCACTGATGGGAGCACCAACAGCAACAGCTCCGATGGCACGTGCGTGCAGCCCACCCGACCCTGTTCCCTGCCCTCCTCAGTCCCTCTAGTCACAGAGCCAGGGGCAGGGTGGGAAGATCTCCCGGGTTGGGTTCCATCCCAGGTGTCTGGGTTCCTCTGTGTCCCCGCTTCCCTCCGTCCTCCACTCTTGGGGCCTGGGCCCCAGTCTTCCTATTGCTCCAGGTTGCTGCATCCCATTGGAATAACCCCGGTGGCCCAGGAACTGTTCATCCTTTCTGTATGTTTCACGTCTCCCACCTCCCAGCACCTGCACACCTAAACCCTCCTCCAGCGGAGAGGGTTTCCAAAGAAAAATGTGATCTGAAATCTTTTTACATCTAAAACCATTGATACGGCTCAGATGAATGGAGGTCTCACAGGTGGCCTTGCTTGGCAAGGAGGTTGGACTAGATCAGTGGTTTTCAAACTGCGGGTGGTGACTCATAAGCAGGAAGTAAAATGAGTCCAGTGAGTCAAAACCAGCATTACAAGAAGAAATAGAAAATTTAGATATATCCTATAGTAAGGATGAATTACCTTGTGAACTTTTGTTTCCATTTTTTTTTAATGTATAGATTCGCATAGGTCTGTTATGTTAAATGTATTTCTTAAATTTGCGTGTGGATTGCAGTAAAAAATTTGAAAATCACTGGGTCACATAGTCCCTCGGATCTCTTCTAAATCTATGAAACTGGTTCTATGACTAAGATTTTCTGATTCGGCTTCATCAAGGCCCAGCGATTTCAGGATTTTGTGGCTCGATTATTTAAGATTTTATGATCGTGTGTCTTGCTACTAAGCCTGTTTCCATGAATGTGGGTCCCACTAGCATTTATTGCATCTTACCGCATGCAGGGGATCCCTGGGTGTGTCAGACCAGTGTTTCTTGCTCTAGGATCTACCAGCCACTATCAGACCAAAAACAGTGTCTCATTGAACACTCACAACAACCCTGAGGGATGTTGGTTCTACCGTTATCTCCATTTTCAAGTGGAGAAACTGAGGTGCAAGAGGAGGGTGAGGTACCTTACCCAAGGTCACAGCTATTCAGTGGTGGTGGAGTCAGGATTTGAATTAAGCTATAACCTTTGTTCACAATCTCGACCCTCTCTATACCGAGCTCCTGACATTCTGTGACCTTGAGAGTCTAAGTTTCTTTATTTAACCTTCTCAGATCCTATTGTCCTAAGAATGTGATATTAGGCTATTGCTGACTGTGGCCAATAAGAGTGAGTGGGCCTTGAAGCCCCTTCCTGGGGAGTAGGGGAGAGACACGGGCCATCTCCAACAAGATATGCAGCCTATCGCCCCTCCCCGCTTGTCACCGGCCAACAGGGACTCAAAACCAAACAGTCCAACAGGGGATTTGTTCTGGAACAACGTTTGATCTCTTTAGCCAGGAGCCTGAGCTGTTCTAGAAGATCTTAGAACTTCGTTTGGTCCACGGCGGCTCATCAGCAGATGTGGGCCAGCCCTCCTCCATCCGTCCTTTTTCTGCTGGCCACATCCAGAACATCTAGGCTTGAGGACATGAAAAAGTAGCACATTTCCCTGGATGATGATAATAACAGCAACAATAACAATAACTGCCATTTATTGTTTCCAGTTTGGAACTTTTCACGAGCTGTCTGCCCTAGTCCTCGCCATAACCCTATGTGAGTTGGGCATCATCTGTGTTTTGCAGGTGAGGGAGGCCCCTTACCTCATAGAGCCTCTGTTTTCCCATCTGTAAAATTGGATCACAGCTCCTGCCACACAGAATGGTTGTAGGGATTAAATGAACAAATGCACGTGGAACATTTAGTGTGCTCTTGGCACTTGGCCAACTTTCCATCACGGTCAGGTTTTGTTACTCTTTCCAGGACCCCCCTTTCCCCCAGCCATGGACCACCCACCATCGCTTGTCATTAATCTCAACCCTGTCATTGTGTTATTTTGGTCTCAGTTGTTGCTTTGGGCACCACCTCACTGTTATTGACTTGCATTTCAAACTTATGGTCAACTAAACCTCCGTTCCTGGAACTTGCTCCAGGCATTGAAACTTCTGGCCTTTGTCTCTGGTTCTTGGCATTAACATCCCCTGGTGAGGACACAGGTGTCCAGCAAGCCCTGCCTTTTAAGAGTCACCTTAGAAATTCTAGTGCCTGAGGATTAAATACCATCATTATTATGTTTATTAGTCTCTTTTCTCAAGTGGCATGAAAATACTTTTCTTTAATGTGCAGAGATGAACAGTTCTGTTTGTCCCCAGCCAAAGTAGTGCACAGAGGCACAGAAGGGTGTACCCAGTGTCCCAGGGGCAAAGCCACTGCATCTCGCCATCCAGATACCCTCACATGCGCCTCTGCCTCCTTCTCCAGGTTCATCTTCCCCACCACCCGGCTTGGGGCCGAAAGCCAGTTCAGCGATTTCCTGGATGGGCTGGGACCCGCCCAGATTGTGGGGCGACAGACGCTGGCAACACCACCGATGGGTGAGTCTTTTTGAGGGCAGGGCGAGTGGGGTGATGGCAGCCACGCAGCAGAAAGTGTGCGCTCAGTAGGGGCCCTGCGTGATGCAGTGCACGCAGCAGAAAGGAGCCCTCACTCAGGCTTTTGTGCCAGTGAGGAGTCAGCATAGCACTCATCAATCCCTCCCTCATCAGAGGGGAAAGGGGGTCCAGCCCTTCTCTGCTACCGGTGCCCTGCAGCAGCTCTGGAGCTCACTCCCTCTCTCACTTCTCCACACTTTCCCCGACTGCTGTGCCCAGCAGTGCTAGTGCCGTGCATAATATGGTGAACAAATTGTCATAGCAATTGACTTTCATGGAGTCTGTTTTATCACCAATTCACTGCATGACCTTGGGCAAGTCACTGCCCTCCTTTGAGCCTCAGTTTCCTCATTGTAAAATGGAAATAATAACACCCAGCTTAGTTCTGCAATCTGACAATTTATTGAGTTCCTCATTGATGCTTTCCATGGCACCTTTTAGTAATTTCCTCTTCCCCTCCCTAGAGCTGGGAAGCGCTTCCTGGAGTCTGTACTTGGTCCTCTTAGCTGCAGTTCTGGCTCATTTCCTGAGCTCTCAGATGGACCCCTCCCTCCCTCTCTGTCCCTTACATATTGACTGTGTTGGCTTCAAGTAGCTCCTTCCCAGGCCCAGCTTCCCCAGAGACGCAGCCTCACCTCCACCCGCTTCCCCGTCAGTCTGCCCTGAGCAGTGTCTGACCCAGACGTCTGCACTCAGCCCTCATTTGGACATTGTTCAACCTTTGACCTCATAGCAGACAAGGGAGCTGAGCGCAGACAGTGCCCTGCTGCAGGCTATGCAGCGGAGCTGGGATTCTGTTCCAGCCAGGACTCTCCCATCCCACTGCCCTGTCTTCCTCCAATGTGCTCCTACTGGAAGAGGGGTCCACGGGGACCCTGGGGGTGAGCGTCAGCTCTCATCTGGCTCTTGGATCAGATTTGGCTAATTCCCAGCCCTTGCTTTCAGACTGTTAAGGGCTTGGGGAGTCTGCTTTTCCCAGCCCTAGCCAAGGGCTGGAAGGTAGTGAGAGGAGCCAGCCACTTCTGCCAGGCTAATGCGCCATCATAGCCTGGAACATTTGTGTGTGGTGCCCCCTGGTGTCCCAAACTGGGAAGGACGGGTTCGCCTTTGCTTATCTTGTTAGGGATGTTACAGTGAGACAGAGGAGGAGATTAATTCCTGAGGCCTCCCCTCCCCCTTCCCCATGGGGAGGTCAGGAATAGCTGGAAGGAGGGGGATGAATTCCAGGATGTCTCCTGAAAGTAGCAAATCCCCATCTTCTCAAATTGGCAAATGCAAACAATTGCATGATGGCTCAGAGAACCTAAAATGGGTGACTGAATCCAAAGTCTGGCCCATTTTCATTTTTCTCCACCAGGCTTGTGATCCTGCATCCCTTTGAAGGCTCTTCCAAGTGTCTAGCGCATAATTTCAAATTCTGCTAACCCGTGTTGAGCAAAGCTAAGAGTTCTAGAGATCAGATAGCTGACATGCCTGCACACACAAAACTTGCCCCAAATGGGTAATCCATTTTGTGGGAGCACAGTGAGGAGTTCTCAGTTCTCTGCTCCCAGGGAATCTGCCGGCTTTCCCTCCATCCTTTGGAAAGGGTCCGACCAGGCCCTCCTTCCCAGGGCGGGCCTCACATCCTGGGCAGGCTCATATGGCAGCGTCTCTTCAAACTGATAGCTTTAAATACTTGATGTATATTTAGGGCAGTGGCTGAGGGCTGCTGTGTAGGGGAAAGTGAAGAGGGGCCACTGAGCCCACAGCCTCCCCTCTGTCCTGACACAGGAAGCTCTGTCCCCAAACTTGCCTATTTCACTCAGTAAAACACATGCCCACTCAGTTAACCAGACTTAATGGGAGGTTGGCAGCCATTTGCTGTTACCCAAGCATGCCCCTTGAGGGTCATGCCCCCACCCACCCCAAGGGATTTATCAAAGCATTTCTCAGCTGCTTTAAAGTGGTCTCTGAAGGGCAGTTCTGGCGCGTGCAGTTTCTCCATCTCGTGCCCATTCCCGTATTGTAGCATCCTCTGCAGATGGGCATTCTGCACAGCGGCTGGCCAGCCTGCCCCTTGGTCTGGCTCTGCCTGGACTCTCCCTCTTCTCCCTTGCAGGGGACGTGCACATTGCCATCATGGACCGGAGTGGCCAGTTGGAGGTGGAAGTGATTGAGGCTCGGGGCCTGACCCCCAAACCTGGCTCTAAATCCCTCCCAGGTGAGGCAGAGCAGCCCGGAGCGCGATTTGGGAAATGGGGTCTTGCCAGGGAGGGGTATACAGCTGAACCCTGGGTCTAGCAAATCTTCAGCTCCCCATTGGCCTAAATCGGCACTCTTGACACTGGAGTCACAGCTTGCCTGGAAGGCCGGTGAGCAGGGGTGGGAGCAGGGGAGGATGGAGGAGTCAGCGTTTGAGTCAGTCTCTTCCACCTGCTGTCCACTGGTTGGCTCATCCTGATCGCCTTGCCCTCCTCCAGGATCGCTTGGAGGATAGGGGGTGGGGCAGGCCATAGCAGTCTCCTGGACCCCTCCCATCATGCTCTCTCTCATTCCTCAGCCACCTATATCAAGGTTTACCTGCTCGAGAATGGGGCCTGCTTGGCCAAGAAGAAGACAAAAGTGGCCAAGAAGACCTGTGACCCCGTGTACCAGCAGGCTCTGCTCTTTGACGAGGGGCCTCAGGGCAAGGTGCTGCAGGTGAGTGTTATGGGGCCAGTGGGGCAGGGCAGACTCTCGAAGACTGCAAGTTGTAATTTAAGGTTATTTAAGATTTTTTTCATTTATGATTTATGCTGTGCCAGGCACTGTACCAGGTGATTAATATGCATTATGCATTTATTTTCACAACCTATCGTGGTGTTATTGCCCCTAGTTGCTTCATAAGGAAACCACGGTTCAGGGGGATAACTCAGTTGCGCCCCAGGCTGCACAGCTGGTAGGTGGGAGCAGAGTTTGCCGGCCGCCTCTTTCTTCCACCCGGTGCTAATGTTCATTGCACTTCGGCTCCACGCCAGGCTCCATGTCAGCTGCTTTCCAGTTGTGATCTCGTTTTATCCTGGAGATGATGCCGTGAAGTAGGTATGGTTCGCCCCATTTTACAAATGAGGAAGCAGTCTCAGAAGATGAGTGACCTGCTTGAGGTTTCAGCTAGTGACTTGCAGAGCCAAGTTGAGCCCAGAGGCTCACCCCAACGACAAAGAGTGGCAGTGCCCTTCGCCGCAGTCCTGGGAGGGAGGGATCCTCATGTCCGTTTCATAGATGAGGCGCCTGAGGCAAAGAGGTTAAGTGGGGATAGAGCCAGTGGAGGTGGGTCTCTGTGTTCCGTCCTGGGTTCCCGTCCCAGCTTGATCACTTACCAGCTGTGGCGGTCTGTTGTGAAGATGAGACGAGAGAGGCATGTAGAGGCCTCGCATAGTGCCTGGCACACAGGCAGCTACTCGCTAAGCATCAGCAGTGATGGTGGGGGCTGCCTGCCTTGCCTGAGACCACGTGGGTAGCAGAGGTCCTAGACTCTGGGTCTGCTCCCTCCTGGGCAAGGCTGTCATCTGGGATGCCGGGAGGCTCTGGAAGTCAGACGCGGGTTCCAACCTCAGCTCTGCCACCAATTACTGTGTGTCTTTGGGTTAGTTAGTTAACTTCTCAGAGCTGCAGTTTCCTCTTTGTGGAAATAATAATACACAGCAGCTCTCCCTAGATGGTTGTGACAATCAGGATAATGTCTATAAAGTCTGTAGGATCAAGCGCAGCACATTGTAAGTGCTCAGTAAGTTGTTGCCTGAAATCAGTCTGAGTTCTGGCTCTTTCTGTCCCATCTGTGCCCAGGCGAAACTTGTAGATACCTGGGCCCCTCCCAGCCTAGGAGTGGAGGAGATGACTCAGCTCCTCTCTCTTTCTCCCCCTGCCAGGTGATTGTCTGGGGAGACTACGGCCGCATGGACCACAAGTGCTTCATGGGCATGGCCCAGATCATGCTGGACGAGCTGGACCTGAGTGCAGCGGTCGCCGGCTGGTACAAACTCTTCCCCACGTCCTCAGTGGCAGACTCCACGCTCGGATCCCTCACCAGGCGCCTGTCCCAGTCCTCCCTGGAGAGTGCCACCAGCCCCTCGTGCTCCTAAGGACCTCAGGAGGAGACTGGGCTGCAGTGTGGGAAGGAGTACCTGCTGGCCCCCACCTCCTCCCCTGTACATAGTCTTCATGTCTTTCTGGATCTCTTGCCCTGCTGCATGCCTGTTGGCTACTGGGCCCATCCCAGCTGGCAGTGGAAACTGTAATGTGTGTGCGTGTGTGTTTGTGTGTGTGTCTGTGTGACCATGTTATATCTGTTCATATGTGTGGGTATAGTCAGTCTTGGTGACTACATGGGCTAAATCCATGTTTCTCTGTGTCTTGTTGAAAAGAAACCCAAAGGAGTGTTGTGTGGACACAACTCCCCCTGAGTCCAGGGGTGGAAGTGGGGGACGCGGCCATCGGTCCATTCTGCATGGTCCCGTGTCCGGGGCAGAGCCCGTGTGCCCTGCCTGTGCCTCCTCTTGGTGGTCCCTAGTTAGTTTTCTGTCCTGTCCTTTGTCCCACTTTGCCTCTCCCAGCACTGCTGCTCTTTTTTGAGGAATGTAGCGTCCCCTGTCGCTGGCCACTCTGAGGCCCCTCTGGGAACCCTGACACCCCTTCTCCCCACCCCAGCATTCTGGCAGCTCTTCCCACTGGATGCTTCTGCAGTGTGTAGCATGCTCACCTAGTGCCCTGGCCAGGGCCCCAGGGAGCAAAGATGCCCGGGAGCCCAGGGCTTGGGGACTGCTTTCTCCCTCGGGCCTCCTCCCTCCTGCAAGGTTGCTGGCCGCCTACCTTAGAGGGAGCTGCCTGTGCCTCCCTTAGCGTTGCTCTTCACCTCCCGTCTCCCTGCAAGCTGCCTCACCTCCCATATGCCAAAGGAGCTCTCCCAGTGGCCCCCAGGAGGTGTGATGGGAGGGTCACGACCTCCAGGAAGCCGGCCTCAGAGGGGATGTTATCTGCCAAAGCAGATAATCCCTGGAGGCCCCTGTGTCCTCCCTTGGCCCTGAGGGTGGCCCTGTGCCCCTCCAGGCTCTTCCTGTTGAGGCCTGCTTGTGAGGAGGTGCCGAGGGCAGGGCTGTTTGCTGGAATTGGGAGGGTGGGGGCTGACTTGCTCTGAGCCACTGTCAAGAATTGAGAATTCCGTCTGACCTTTGCAGATTAGCTGCGTGAAGCTGATCATTTGGGCTTCTGTTCTTTTGCTCATGTCCAGACCAGGGTTTCTGTCTAGGAGCTCAGACCTGCCTGAGCTCCAGCCTCCTGGCTCCGCAGACAGCCTGGTTCTGGACTCTAGACTGCCACAGTCACCAGCTCTGTACAAGCAATACTCCCCTGCAGCCCCCCGCCTCCCTGGGCGCCGCCGCCGCCCGCTGGAGCATGGCCTGGCCTGTTTTAAGCCCCTCACCTGCCTCTGCTTTCTCCCGCTCTTGTCTAGTCAGAGCTTCCCAAAGCCACTCAAACCCTGACTTGATTTCATGGCTGGGCCCTGTTGGTGGGGACCAGTGCCTGGACTGGACCTTGTGAGACGCCTGCTGGGAATCCTGCAGTCTGGCTCAGGAATGCCCAGATCTGCCCCTCTCCCTCCTCAGGTCTAGGGCAGAAGGTGAGGGGTCGCCCAGGAGACAGACACTGCAGCCTGTGGGTCCATGTCTGGTGGGGAGGAAAGAGGTGGCAGGAGAGGTCCAGGTAGAGGGCAGGCTCTCTCCGCCTCTTCCCCAGACATCAGCGCCTAGGGCTGCCATGACTGTAAGGCACGTCCTGACGTGAGGCGGGGGAGCTGCCCAGGGGGCGGTGGAGAGGTCTCGGGGCCTGAGTGCTGGGCTTCCACTGGGAACCAAAGCCGATGGGCGTGGAGGTGGATCTGGAGGGAGGGATGGAGGAGCAGACTCTCTGGAGATAAAGCCATCTCCACCCAAAGGGCCTTCTTCTGGCAGGGATCCGCATTAGGCCGAAGCCAGAGCCCTGTCACCTCCCTCCCAAGGAAACGAGGGAAAGAAGCCAGGACCCCATCGGTCCTGCCGCTGACAGACGAGTAGGTAAAGGAGTAAGGAAGCGGATGCAGTGAGCGCCTGTCTTCCGCTGGGGCCTCCCTTCCTGTATTATCACCGACGAAACCGTGTGTGTGCAGGAGGGGCAGGCGGCGGCTGGGTCGAATCTTCTCCTTCTGCAGAAATTCTCTCCCATTGTTGGGACTGGGTAATGCATGCATTTCTCGGGTTTCTAAAATGAGGCAAAGGGCTCTGGACCCTGAGCCTAGGGTGAGGAGAGGGAGGAAACTCACTTGCAAAAGGGCATCTTTATGTCCTGGCTGTGATGTCTTCACCTCTAGAGCTGCCACCCTCGGGATGCTGTGAAAATGCTCTATGCCTGCAGAATGGTGGGATTCTCAGGGATCCCCAGGACAGTGTAGACATTGGCTGATGACTGGTGATACCTAGACCATGCAGTCACCCCCAGAGGGTGGGGGGATTTCAATGAGGGCTGTCACCCTCATTCCTCCAGGGGCCCAGGGAGACAGTGAGAGGAGGCGGGGAGCTGCCAGCAGAGAGGCTGCCGCTGGGGAGCTGTAGGCCATGTGCCCCTGCCTCTAGGGGAGGGCCAGTTAGCACAGGGGAAGTTCTAGCCAGTGGGGGCGCCTAACATGTTGGTAATTTGTCTGACCTGCCTGCAATGCCCCGCTACCAAAACTGCCCAGGAGTTGGGCCTCTCCATGTTCACCTCTCTAATGGGAAGTAATCCCCCCAAGCTGACCTTGGGAATTAATTCTTTTTAATCTTTTGCACCAAATAAGTTACTAATCCCCACCGGGACCTTCCCCCGAGAGGGCGAAGTCGAGTGAGGCTGACACGTATGTGTGATGGTAAGCGGCTGGTTCTAGGGCCTGTTTCTCGGGATCCTGGATACAGAGCCTTGTCTGAGAAGCCGCTCTGGAGCTAGCCTGTCCCAGGAGAGGGGGGAGCCCATGTGTGACTCCTGGCCTTCCCTGGGGTGGGGAGCCTCTGTCCCTTGAAGAGGGGATGGTGGGAAAGGAGGGAACATGATCCCCCCGAGTTCTGCCTAACCTGGGGCCAGCTCACTGCCAGGTACAGTGTCCCAGCTCCAAATGCTCCCTCACCCCAGATGAAGCCTGGAGCTGGTTACAGCCTGGGGCTTTGGCATTGCGTCTTCCTCTGCTCGGCCAGGATGCGTGGAAGATGTGGCAAAGATAGGAGTGGCCCTGTGGCCAGGAACCACGATGGATGATTCAGAGCATCTGGCTTCACGTTTCTGCTCTGTTCCATCTGTCCCACCTCCTTCATAGACTCCTTCCCTACAGGGAAGTAGTGATGGGTCTTTAGTATGAACCGGGCTCCAGCAAATGGGGCCAAGTCTTGGTTTGACAAGGGGGATTTGATCCTTCAGGGAAGAACTCTCTTCAAAACTACTCCCCATCCAGTCTCTCCCACCACCCAGCTCTCCTAGGAAAGGAGCACGGAGGCGGCCCTTGGGATGCAGCGAGTCCTAGGCATTGCCAGCATTTCATGGAGCTGAGGCAGAACCTGGGAGCTCCAGAGAGAGGGCACCATGTAGCTCGTCACTCATGGGACCAGCGGTTAGAGCATTGGTCAGGCCATTTCTCCCAGGGGCATGACACCCCCAGGGCAAGCATGCCTGAGCTCGTCTTTACTGCCAGCCTTGAGGAGAGCAGACACCCCCCCCCCCTTTTAAAGACAATAGAGCCCTCCAAGGGTACTTCTTTGGAAGTGAAATGTAGCACAATCTTAGACTGCATTACCAGGAGCCCCGACATGCTCCTGGGGTTCTTGCTGCACGCCCTGCTGCCCAGGAGACGCTCCTCCTCCCTGGGGCTCCAGAGCTCCTAGTACCTCCGATTCCCTATCTTCCTTGGCCCGGAAAGCAGCAGGGCTTCTGGTTCTCTGATTGCTTCCTGCACTGTGCAAACTCTGTACGAGACATTGCTGCCTTTGCATGATGTTGTAGACGAGTGGTCCTTCCCTGGGGGAGAGGGAGGGCACATCATTCAGGGCCGGGAGGTTGTCCAGCAGTGTTGGCAGTGGCCTGAGGAGACGGAAGAGAGGCCTGCTCCCCGCTGACTGCCTCCCACCCCCCCCAACCCCCCATCTCTTCCTCTCCTTGTGCTTTCGTCTACAACATCCTGACCCGTAAAGAGATTCTTTAAAATGCTGCTTCCTCTACTGGGTGATCGTTCACTGAATGGTCAGGAGGCGATGGGAATGTAGACCATCCCCTGCCTACTCCCTCAAGTCTGCTTTTCACTCAGATCAGAAGAGACTGGGGCAAAACTGAACAATCATGATCGAAGGGCAGGGGAGCCCTGCCTCGTCCCGTGAGGGCTGCTGGGGGCTGGATCGGCCTGGTCTGGCTGGGAAAGGGTTCTTTTGAAAGAGTGCCTGAGCATCTCAGAGCAATGTCAGTGATGCCAAAGAGAGCGACTTGGCCTCCTTGGGCACCAACCCTGCTGGCTGAGCTGCACAACCGCGGCTCAGGTGTTGGCCTGCCTGATGGTGGGACCTTGTTCTCTGACAAAGGGCTTAATCTTTCCATGTAGCAAAGCAACTCCCCCTCCCCCTAATCTTGAGCTCGGGCTTTTATGGGCCCAGCAAGGCTGTGCCTGTGAGGGAAACCACAGCAGTGAGAGACACTTGCATTCCCTCAGGGGCCTGGACTGGCTGGGGCAAGTGCTGGTTGAGAGGCGGGAATGTTAAGTGCTTTGGGAAACTCGTCCAGGGCTCTGGCTGGAAACTTGGCCAGTAAGGACAGGGACCTTGGGCCTCCCAAGGAGTTCACACTGATGCCAGGAAGAGTCCTTGGGACTGAGTTCCAGAGAGTTTGGCTAACAGAAATGGGCTCTGGGAATTTCCAGGGCAACAGAGCACCCGTCCCACTGGTCAGTGGCCTGGACAGCTGGCTACAGGGAATCAAAGGCTGTTATATACGGTTTGGCCAGAAACTGTGACCCCGTGCAAGACTCCTCACTTTTCTGGGCCTCAGCTTCCTCATCTGCAAAATCAGAGCATTTGCTAGTTGCTCCATGGTTCCCTCCAGGTTTCAAAAGTCTGATCTGGAGCTGATGAGGTTTGCGAGCCTGATACACCCGGCACCTGGTTCCACGGGCTGGTTTCTTCCAGCCCTGAGTGCCCAAGTTGGGTGCAGACCCTCCTCCATCCACGCCCGGATGCTGCCTCTGACAAGAACTCTGGGACTCCTAACAAACTCTGCTTCCACCTCTGCGGTTTGCTTTCTCTCTTTTCTTCTTGTGTAATGGGGAGAAATACTTGAGGGTGGTCTACAATGGACAGTTTTCAAGGTGCTGATGTGACGTCACCACCTCAGCTGCATCCTGCGTGGGTCAGTATCCCCACCAGCGCATGAGGCTGGGTCGGTCCTCATTTCTGCTTCTAGAATGACATCAGTGGGGGAACTGAACATCTGAGAATATTAAAGGAAATGCTCTCTGATGGGAGGGAACTTACTTCCCTTCAAAGTGTTTGACTTCTTAAAGCCACTTCTCTCTCCAGAATGTCTTTTACCAGACATCTCAGCAGGCAGAGTGGCTGCCTCCTTTGGGAAAGTTGGCCTGATTGTTCTAGCCACTCCTTTAGAATATAAATTCACAGGAGGCAGGATCCCCTTTTTTAGAATTTCCAAATGCATCCTGCAAAGAAAGAGAGAGCTGATAGGGACTGACAAGCACACTGTTTAGATAAGAAGCAATTAGCCTTTTATATCTGTGCTCTATACATTTTCTATGTGCAGCATATTTCCAAACTTCTCGTGGCTCCTGGGTGGCAGGTGGACAGCTGAGAAGGACTGCCGGCTGTTTCGTACAACGTTCTTGCCAATTCCCTTGAGGAGAAAATTCTTCACGTGGCTTCTGCATGTACAGTATTTGAGCAGCAAAAAATGATTAAAGTCAGTTTGAAAATGATCTCGTGTGTTGCTTTCTGTGGACGGTTCTTGATTCTAGGAGAGAGAAAACAGTGTTCCAGGTGACTAAAACAGGAGGAGGAGGCTGCCATGGCTGAGAGGCAGGAGAGGCTGGGACCTCTTAGAGAAAGCCCTGGAAGATCTGACCTGGGCCTCTGACTCCTGTTGGGAATTCTTGCCACAGTGATGTCCTTGGGCCATGGTCTCTGACTGGTCCAGGCGGCATCCCAGCTCTGTCTCCCAGGGTCCCTGCTTACAGGTCCCCAAAGCCTTCTATTCCCACAGATGAGACAAGGGATGCCCAGAGCCAAAGAGAGGGGAAGGTGAGATGGAGCTAAGGCCACTGCTTTCGACCCACTGTTCGTTCCTTTCTGAGCTCTTGGGTGCAGCAGCTCCGCTCAGGCATGGGCTGGGGCAACCATTCTTGTTCAGCCACACCTGATACTGGCAGTAAACGTAGCAGTTGACCTCCAGCGCTGTGAATGACAGCAGTCATTGACCCCTGGAGCACCCTTTCACCTCCCTGCCTCAGGGAGGGACTGAAAGGTATGTCAACAATATGTCACTTCTGAGCAGAGCCATTGTCCCGTAGGGTTGGGTCTAGGGATGCAGAATATTGACAAAGGAAGAGTAGCAATGTCGTAGCACTTGCTTGCTAGGGGAAAGGCTGGCATCCTGCATCCCAAGAGCCCTCCAGGGTGCCCTCCACTGCTTTGCCCCTTGCTGTAGGCCTTGTAGTTCCAGTGGGCACCATCTCTTGAGGGAAGGCTCAGGAGAGCAGTATATGAGCTCTGGGGCTCCCTTGGGTTCTATCTTTTACTTCCTTTCCACTTCTGCTCTCTCCCTCAGACATCCTATATACTCTTAGGAGTATATAGTTCTGGCCAACAAAATTCTTTCCAAAAAAAAGACAAAAGGGACAGACAACAAAAACTGAGATCCAGAGAAAGAAATTCTGAAGGATGTTCTTCAGATGAAAGGAATATAGCACATACCTCATAGGGTTATTGGGGATTAAAATGAGGTAATATGTTTAAAGCACCCAGAACAGTGCCTGGCACACAGTAACGCTATGTTTGCTATTTTTAAGGAAAATGATCCTAGATGGAAGGGCTGAGATGCAGGAAGGAAAAGTGAGCAAAGAAATAGGTTTTTAAATTAGTAAATATTAACATACACAGATTGTAAAACTATAACAATGTTTAGTTTGTAAAATTAAAGAAATATAATCATGAACTAAAATATTGGACTATGATAGCACACAAATTGGTCCTTGGAACATTCTTGAGGAGGCTAAAGACATTGAATAACCTCAATCTTCCTTAAGTATCCATTCTAAAACCTAGAGTAAATACTAAGAAAATAGAAATGGAATCGAGTAGATGCAAAAACCTTAAATATAAGCTATGAACTCCAATAGTTTATTAAAAAATGATACATCACAATCAAGTGGCGTTTACCCCAGGAGTGCAAAGGTGGTTCATTACTATCAGGAAAATTCATCACATTAATAGACTAAAGAAGAAAAATCATGTAATTATCCTAATGAAGAAAGAGCATTTTATAAGGTCTAATTATATTCATTATAAAAACTTTTAGCAAATAGAAGGTAATTTTCTTAATTTGATAAAAGTCATATACCAAAAAACTAACAGCAAATATTATGTTAATGGAAACACTTTTGACACAGTCGCCTTAAGATGAATACGAGGGGGCTCACTATCATTGCTACCTTTTAATGTAGTTCTAGGAATCCTGTGCAACACCATAAAAAAAAGAGTTGAAAAATTGAAAAAGAAGAGATAAAACTGTCATTTATAGATAATTTGACCACAACCTAATTTTTAAAAAACAGAATCACTAGAACTAATAAGAGCATTCAGCAAGGTTGCTAGATGTAAGATCACCCTACAAAAATCAATTGCATTTTTCTATAACAGCTATAACCAACAAATAATAAACATGAGATATTAGACACAATAGCAATTAAAATTATAAGGTAGGGATTATTTAAGAATATACAGACGTCTATGGAGAGAATTTTCTAACTCTGATAGAAGAGTTGACGATCTGAATAAATAAAGAGACATTCCCTGTTCTTGGATGAGAAGGTTTAATATATAGATATTAAGTCTCCCCAAACGAATCTATAAATTCTATGTAATCTAAATAAAATTTTCAGTTGGTAAGTTAAGAACTAAGCTAACTCTCCAACTTATACGCAATAGTACAAGGCCATGAATGGTTAAATCAACTTCTGTTTAAAGAAGAGAAAACTCAAAGATTGACATGTATATCTGGAAATTAATATGTGGCAAAGGGGGCACCTTCAAACAATGGGAAAAGATGGGATGTTTGAAATATGTGTTAGAAAAGCTGATTCACTATCTGGACAAAACAATCCCTAACTAAACAAAGATGCAGAGATAAGCCCTCGATGGCTGAATAGACCCAAAATCAAAAGGTAAAATGCAAAGTCAATAAAAGTTGTGAACTAAGTTGTGAACTGAGGGCAAGGAAGAACTTTTAATATTTCAAAAGCACAAATCACGCATTAAAAATTGTAATGTGATTACATTAAAAGTAAGGATTTCTATTTAATGAATGACATCATGAACAAAAGTTAATACACAGATTACAGAATGGTAATTTGCAATGTCAAAAAATGGCAAGGGATTAATGGCTAGAATCTACAAGGAAGTCCTGCAAATTGACAATAAAAAGATAACTTCAGTGGGAAAATGGGCAAAGGAAATGAACAGGCAAACTCCAAAAGTTAATAAGCATATGAAAACAGCCTCAGAATCATTAATCAGAGAAATGCAAATTAAAACAATAATAGGATATTACTTTCTACCTATAATAGACTGGCAAAAATTAGAAAACTGGATAATGTCAAATGATGATAGGCACATGCGGATACAGTTGTGCAGCCATTTTAGAAAGCAATCTGACACTACCTGGGCCAATTATTTGCAGACTCTATGACCAGTAAATTTCTATATAGATCTGTTGAAGGGACATGTACAAGGATATTCACTGAAGCATTATTTGTGGTGGCATGTGGTAGGCAGAATAATGGCCCCCTGAAGATGCCCACAACCTAATGCCCAGAACCTGTGAATATGTTAATTTACATGGCAAAAGGGACTTTGCAGATATGATTAAAGACTCTGAGATAAGGATATTATAAGGAGATTATCTGGATGGGCCCAATCTAATCATCTGGCTCTTGAAAAGTGGAAAGCTTTTCCCACCTGTGATTAAAGGGAGATGTGGTTGCAGAAGAATGGCCAGAGAGCTGCAGTGTGAAATTAAAGACCTAACTGTATAGAGAGTTAGTCATACCATGTTCATGGATTGAAAAACACAATAGTGTTAAGATGTCTGTTCTCTCCTAATTTATCTCTGGATTTAATGCACTTTCAGGAAACATCCTAGCAGGCTTTTTCAATAAATTGACATGCTGATATTAAAATTTATTTGGAAATGCAAAGGACATTGAATAGCTAAAACAATTTTGAAAAAGAACCAAGTTGGAAGACTTATGTTACCAGATTACAAGACTTACTACGAAGTAACAATGGTATTGGTATGAGGATAGACATAAAGATCAACGGAACAAAGCGGTGTGCAGAAACAGACTTAACACATAGCCAATTGATTTTTGACAAAGTTGCCAAAGTAATTTAATAATCTTTTCAACAAATGATGCTGCAACACTGGATACTTGAATGGAAAAATATGAACCTCAACCCTTCACATTATACACAAAAATTAACTAAAAATGGATCATAGACCTATAAGCTAAAATGATAAAACTTTTGGGAAAAAATATAGGAAAAAAACCTTCACAAATTTATGGTAGGCAGTGATGTCTTAGAACATAAAAAGCACTAACTCTAAAACAAAAATAAAAGGATAAGTTGGATTTCATCAAAATTAAAATTTCTTCTCTTTGAAAGACACTATTAAGGCTCATAATAAGATGACAACTTAATAAGACAACTGAAGTAAAAATAGGCAAAAGATTTGAACAGGAGTGTCACAAAAGAAGATATAAAGTACATGAAAAGGTACTCATTACCATTATTCATCAAGCAGCTGCATACCCACTAGCATAGCTAAAATTAAAGACTGACAGTATCTAGTGTTGGTGGGGACATGGAGCGGCATTTTTGATAGAAATATAAAATAGTACAACCACTTTGGAAAATAGTTTGGCAATTTCTTATAAATTTCTCATTTGCTTACCACACAGCCCAGCAACTCCACTCCTAGGTATTTATCAGGAAAAATGAAAATATACGTCCACCCAAGGGCAAAAATGCTCATGGCAGCTTTATTCATAATAGCCCAAAATTGGAAACAATACAAATGTCCAATGTATCTGTCAGGGTTCAATCAGAATACAGAAACCACACAGTAATCTGAACAAGGAAATTTTAACGTTAAAAATTATTAACCGTAGCTGGGGAGTAACTGTGACGGCGTACAGAGAACTCTACAGAATATCATCTGTAAATCAGATCCAGATGGTTGTGTAGGATCTAGACTATGGTCACCTTCCAAACCCCACTACCTTGTAAATGCCAGGGTAAGGGCCATTTGAGAGGATCACAGCTTTAGCAGGAATGTTGGAAACCTTCCGTCTCCCCACAGGAGGTAGATTCTCAGAGTGGGAAAGCCTTGACAGTCATAGAGGATTATCCTGGATTATTCCTGGGATACGGATGAGATGGTGCAACTGGAAGAAAGTTACCCAGGAAATGCCAGTCCTGGTCTGTCTGAGGAGAGGCCCCTGCATTCTTCTCTAGCCCAGCCATCACTGGTCCTGCATCTTCCATGGTTTGGCCATAGGCCCAAGTGGTGTGAGGGGCCAGTTACAGAGGGAGTTGCCCTTCAAGACTGGCCAACCAGGCAGGGATAAGGGACACAGGAGGAGCAAACTGCCTAAGGAAAAGGGACTTGCTAAAGATCACCACAGCTTCCGAAAGTGGGAGGCGTTGTGGACCTATAACAGTAACAGCTGTAATTAATAATAATAATCATTATAAGAACAAGTTGTGAAGAAGTCACAGAAGAAACCCGGCAAGCAGCTCCTTCATGAGTAAAGCCTAACCATGGGTGTTGACCCATTGGCCAACGTTCGCTGGTGCTGGTGGTCAAATAGTAAGTCTCTAGTCTTGACTCGTGTGTGTGTGTGTGTGTGTGTGTGTGTACTTGCTTTAGAACTCCAGAGACTGATAAAGAACATCTACTGACATTCAGGAAAATCTGTAAAATATGGGCTGGTTATAAAAGTCTTCACTTCAACAAAGCCAAAAGTTATCTTGCAGGTTTGATAAAATTATTTCACCTCCTAGGTTCTGGGCATATCATTGGCTCAGGGGAAGTGTGCTGAACTTGCCTTGTGAATACATATAACGAATGATTGGTCATCCCAACAAGAATGTTTGTACCTGAATGATGGAAGATCAGACTGGAGCACCCTTTAACTCAGCAGTCCCGGTGCTGGGCACCTGGCCCAGAGAACTCTCACATGGTATCAAAGGGGGCATGTAGAAGGACGGTCGGTGCGGAATTGTCCGCTATGGTGGAGAGTTTGAGGTAAGCTCGGTGTCTGTCTATCAGTGGGGAATGGATGACTTTAATATGGAGGAGAAACTCGGCGGGATGCAGTGTATAAGTCAGAAGCACAGATGACATACACACACATAAATCTTAAAACTAGAGTTCTGGGTGAAAAGGTAGTAAACAGAACGAAGTCTAGAGCCTAATATCGCATATGAAAATTAAAAATACAGCTCACAAAATAGCACCCTACATTTTGTGAGAAGACATGCACATACAGGTCAAAATATTTCTAGAAGTTTTTTTATGGGAGGAGTAGAAGCGAGAAATGGGCATGAAAGTGAATAAACAACACGAGAGGGGCCTTGCGCAGGCCAATGATGAACGCATGTTATGAACTGAGGAGAATGATGAACTCAGTCCTCTGCTTTTGGGGCTAAACAAAAAGTGTTCCTCATCCCAGGATAAATGTATTCTACGGCCAAATGGACCTCAACTGATCAGGATGATAGAGAAGCAAACCGAGAGATCCAAACCGAGTTTTTTGGAGTGTATAAAAATTCTGGGAAAACAGAACGTCTCAGGAGCACCCCACTCACACCGTTGGCAGGCCAAAGCTGCCTCGCACGTCCGTGCGGTGCGATCTCTATCCAGCGTTGTGGTGACGGGAAGTGTAGATACAGGATGGCGTGTGGCTGTGTGTCTATCAGAGTCCAGGACTTAGTGTTGAGCTGAACAGGGACAATAGGAATTCAGGGTCTACTTGCAATTTGCCCTAAGCTCTACCTCCTACGGAGTCTCTTACATAAAAATTATCCGAGCTCCATTTATAGTTGACGTAAGGAATGGGAATGGAGGCACATAGGGCAGCAAGATAACCAAGACACAGGGGTGGCTGAGAACCCCATCTTGGGAAAGAGACTTTTACCTGAGGGAGGTGCCCCTCCAGGTTGTATGCCTGCTGGTCATCATTCAGTGTCCTCCACGTGCACAGGTCACCAGGATGCTGGGCACCGCCTTCCCAGGAGTTCTGCAATGGGCTCACAACGCCCCCATGGCAGAATGTGGAGCTTATCTGGCCTGATGAGGGCTGGTTGGGGCAGACGTCCTAGCAGGAACCGGGGAGGCCGATCTGGGCCCAAGGCCCATGCAGGTAGGGGAAGAGGCAGGGAGAGGAGGAGGGGCGGGGGAAAAGGGAGGAGTGTGGGAGAAGAGGGGAGCAAGTCGGAAGGGGCGGCGAATGGAAGGAAGAGGGAGAGGAGGAGGGCAGGTAGTCGGAGGAGCAGGAGGACAGGCGAGGGTGGAGGGGACCCAGGCAGGGAGGTGGGAAGGGGGGAAGTTGGTAAGAGGAGGGAGACGGTCTGGGCAGGAGGCAGGAAGAGGACAAGGTTGGTCTGAGTAGCTGATGACCGAGGCAGGCACAGGGCGAAGAGACAGAGAAGACATAGGGACAAGGGGCAGGACAGGGGGGAGGGAGGGAGCTGGAAGCTGAGCCGGAGCAGGGGAAGGAGGATGATGAAGAGGAGGTTGAGCAGGAATGAGACAGGGCAGCTTCTTCTGCATGGCTCTCCTTGAGAAATGAGGGCCTGTGTGATGCGGTCATTGTTCTACATTCTTTCTTTGCTTGATTCCGTTATCACTTAGATTCCATTAAAAGAGAGTCCAAGATTCTGACATTTTGACTTGGAAGCTACCTTGAGATCCTTGAATATAGCTTTCTCCATCTTACATTTTAAGAAAGAGAAGCCCAGAGGGTTGTCCAAAGTCACCCAACAGTTAGGGGCACAGTTTGGACCGAATTCAATCCAGAGCTCATCAAAACAATGCCAGGCTGACCAGGCAGTGGATGAAAGCGCAGGGCTCTCCAGGGAGTCCAGGGGCCCTCTGGCCATTAGGGCTCACTCTAGACAGAGGCAATGGAGGCAGCCACTCTCTATCATCCTGTAAGGAGCCTTGAAAGGCACCATCTATTCCTGTCTAGCCATTGCCAGAACCTGCAATAAGGCCCTGATCTCCGCACCACAGGAAAGCCTACTGCATATGCCCAGGAGAGGGACTGAACATGAAGGAAACATCAATACTGACCCACTCCCCAAGAAAGAATTGAGCTCAGATCCTAGCCTGGGCTGTGGGGATCTGGGGAGGAAGATCCCAGAGCAGGAGAAGGGGGCCAGGAGTTTAGAGCCTCCTTCTAGTCCTTGCATTAGATACTCCCACACTTTTCTCACCTTTTGTCTCATTAGAAGTTCACCAGGCAGGGATGTTACCTCTATTTCAAGGAAGAAGAAACTACGTCCATATGGGGGTAGACACTTGCCCAGGGCCACACAGCCTTGGACCAGAATTCCTGTCATCTGGTTCTGTGCTTTTTCCATTAAATGGCTACATTGGGAAATGGGATGGGAACATAAGGGGACAAGGACGTACTGACAGCAGCCACAATCACCTTCAGCCTAGAGTTTCTTTGAGCCTATGAGAATCTCATTCTCAATGTCCCACTTTCCTGGCCGTATCCTGGGTCTGGTCTCTTTGCCACCCACCTCCAACACCTGCCCTGAGGGCCTCCAACAGCAGGGCCTGTAGGTAAAGAGGCATACTCATCAGATTGGGCAGGTCATGCTGCTATGGCAAACCCTGAAATCTCAGCGGATTAGCACAATAAAGGCTTATTTATCATTCATGTCATAATCTAATGAGGGTTGGGCCACAATTGGGCATTTGTCCTCCAAGCAGTGATGCAGGGACATCTTGTACCTATTCCCTAGGGGACACACGGCTTCCAAGGTCACTGAGAAGGGGAAAGAGCTGGGGGATATCATCTGGGATTTTAGTTCCATATTATTCTTCTAAAATGTTTCTTTTTTTTTTTAAGATTTTATTTTTTCCTTTTTCTCCCCAAAGCCCCCTGGTACATAGTTGTACATTCTTAGTTGTGGGTCCTTCTAGTTGTGGCATGTGGGACGCCGCCTCAGCGTGGTTTGATGAGCAGTGCCATGTCCGCGCCCAGGATTCGAACCGACGAAACACTGGGCCGCCTGCAGTGAAGTGCGCGAACTTAACCACTCGGCCACAGGGCCAGCCCATTCTAAAATGTTTCTTAGTCAACACGCATTTTAACTTATTAATAAAGTTTACTCACTTCTTGTTTATTACTGCTTTTAGTATCTAACTTCTTCCTCTTAGATTAATTTTCTTCTGCATCCCCAGTAATTCATCCAGGGAGGGTCTGTGAGTGAAAATGTCTATTTTTTCCTCCACCTGAGAATGAGAGTTTAGTTGAGTTTAGAGTTTTACATTCAACATTATTTGCTCTCAGAAACTTGAAACCATTGCTTCACTACATTTTTGCGACAATAGAACAGCGCCTAGCATCAAATAGGTGCCTAAGAAGTATTTGTTGAATAAGTAGGCAAAATTCATATAAAACAATTTTTATTTCAGCACACTCATAATTTAAAAATCTGGAAAGATTCTAAGCATCCACAGAATATAGAAATGAATAAGATAATAAATGTTCTTGGAAAGGCCTATTATCAGAAACAAAATTTTGCTTTCAAAGGCTATTGAAATACTGTCACATTTATATTGTTTTGCCAGTTGATTTTTTGTAATAATAATATTTCCACAGGGCTTTAACAGTCCAGATAAGCATTGTTCCCGTTTTTCGGATGAGCTGAGACACAAGAGTTTGAGGTCACTCACGCAGCATGAGACAGTCAGGATGCAAACTCCACCAGTCCCTGTGAGCCTCCAGCCTCCTGTCCTCTATCTTCACTGCCTTCAAGAGCCAAATGTAGAAACACTAGGGGGACAGGAGGAGAATGTTTTTTAATAATTTAGTGGTTGGAAGGTTTTCCTCAGGAAAACACAAACATTATGAAATGAAACTCAAGCAAACTTAACTCCATAAACAATGAAAATGGCTGCATTCCTGAAGACTCTGTAAGCCAAGCTAAAAAGCAAATGACAGACTGGGAGAAAATACTTGCAACCTCTAAAACAGAGGAGAGATTACTATCCGGATTATATATAAAGGTCATAACAATCAACAAGAACAGTATTCTGGGTGTTTGGATGCGATTAACATTTAAATGGGTGGACTTTGAGTAACGCAGGCTGCTCTCCATAATGTGAATGGGCCTCGACCCATCAGTTGAAGGTCTGAATAGAAAGACTGCCCTCCTCCAGGCAAGAGAGCCTTCTCTAGCAGACAGCCTTCAGACTCAAACTGCAACATCAGCTCCTCTGGGTCTCTGGACTGCAGGCCCACCTTGCAGATTTTGGACTTTGCAGGCTCCATAACTGTGCGAACCAATTCCTTATAATAAATTCCTATATAATAAATGTTATATTAATGTATTATATTAAGTATATTACATATATTATCTAAATGTAATATAACATATAACTATATAATGTAATAATTATAATTAACATTAATTATAATAATATAGTTAATATTAATTAATACACATATATATCTTATTGATTCTGTTTCTCTGGAGAACACTGAGTAACACAGTCTATTAAAAGTTCAAGGGGGCTGGCCCAGTGGCACAGCGGTTAAGTGCACGCATTCCACTTCAGTGGCCCGGGGTTCACCGGTCTGGATTCTGGGTGCGGACATGGCACCACTCATAAGGCCATGCTGTGGTAGGCGGCCCACATATAAAGTAGAGGAAGATGGGCACGGATGTTAGCTCGGGGCCAGTCTTCCTCAGCAAAAAGAGGAGGATTGGCAACAGATGTTATCTCAGGGCTAATCTTCCTCAAAAAAAAAAAAAAGTTCGAGGAAGGGGCACACACGTGCATACATACAGTAATAGTACAGGACACGCTGACACGGCAGAGATTTTGGTTCATGGTGGGAGGCTTAGTGATGCTATAGCCCCCCCTTCTGCCCTGAATCATGGACATGAAAGAAAAAATATTTTACTAAATCCATTGCAATGCTTGTAACCAGAAGGGATTTCCTCAGTGGCCCAGAAACTATTAGCAATCCCTAAAAGCCTGAACTAGACCAGCCAACAGGACATGTCAGCGACAAAGATGAGTACACAAGAATCCCGAACATTTAAGGAATTCTAAAATCAGAAAAGAGAGAGGCATAATGGAGACAGAAGTCCCAAGAAAACAGAGTAAGCCGAATAGGACTTTAGAAAAATTAGTATCCCCAGAGAAGACATAGTACATAGCATCAGAGACATTAATCAGCTAAAGAGCCCGGAGATTAAAAACTTAATCTGAAATAAAGTATGCACTAGGGGAGGCCGTACCAGCTGTGTGAATGCAGGTAAAGATGAGATCAGCGAACTGGAAGATGAAGCCAGGGAATTCTTTCAAAATATATGCCCCAAACACAAAGACATAAAATATTTCAAAGGAAAATTAAAAGACAGGTCCCTAAGTTCAAACATCCACCAAATAGGAGTTCCAGAAGGAGAGAAGATACTGGAGAAAAGACACTTCTCAAAGCAATTCTCAAAGGGATTTCCCAGAACTGATGAAGCCCTCAGATGGGAAGACTTCACCAAAGACTTAGCAGAAGGAATGGAGGAGCCAGCCCAGTGGTGTAGTGGTTAAGTTTGTGCGCTCCGGTGGCCCAGGGTTCACAGGTTCGGATCCTGAGTGCTGACCTAGCACCACCCATCAAGCCATGCTGTGGCAGCATCCCATATAAAACAGAGGAAGACTGGCACAGGTGTTAGCTCAGCAACAATCTGCCTCAAGCAAAACAGAGGAAGATTGGCAACAGAAGCTGGCTCAGCTGAGACAGCAGTAAAGAAAACAGACAAAAATCCTTACCATTATGGAACTAACGTTCTAGTGGAAAGAAAATAAGAGCCAACATTTACTGAGCCCTTCCTTCATGACAGGCACTTCACCAACTCCTGTAATCCTCACAACAACCTTCTAAGGTAGGAACTATAATTATTCCCATTTCACGGATGGGGCAGAGGAGGCATGGAGAGGTTAAGTGACACCTACTCCCCCGCTGATCTCCCCCAAGGCCACACAGCCAGTAAATGGCAGAGCCAGGACTGGAACTCAGGCAGTCCAACCCCAGAGCGGAGGCTTCAAGCCCTCACGGTCCTATGTGCTACTCTGTGTCTTCTGGTCGTCTGGAGGTAACATCTGCGAGGGACAGGCTCTTGTTTCACATAGCCAAATAGTTTTCCAAAAAGGCATTCCTGGTTTGGGAATCCATCAATTCTTCACTCACGCTACCAATTTTTATTTAGCACCTCCTATGTGCTGGGGATTCAGTGGGGAGCCAAGTAGAGACGGTCCGTTGTCACGAGGTGATTACCATCGAATGGGGACACAAATAAGCAAAAGGTCATTAGAAACTGTGTGGTCAGAGCTGATGGGGGAGGCGCAGGGTGCCGTAGAAGCACATAGGAGGGGGCCCAGGCCAGACCTGGTGGTTTAGGAAAGAGAAAGAGACTTCTCAGGTGGCACCTATAGGAAGAATGAGAGTGCATGGGCCACGCGGCTGGGGGGTGGCGGGGGAACCTGCGCAGGGTGGCCAGAGTGCATCTGGAGCTGGCGCTTAGGCCCGAAAATTTTTTAAAAATTTATTTGAGCTAAATGGGTGGGGTTAT